TTTTGGTGCTCTATCTCTTCTGATCTCTAATAGAAAACCTAGAATGATCGATATAAGAGGCAAGGGAAGAAGATAAGACTTTATAACTTAGTCTTATATTTTACAATAAACCCTACACATGACACAACTTACACGTGAGAGTGAGAGTTTCTTATTCAACTAGTATCTTAGAGACCCTCTCCTTCCCTTAGAGACTTTAGCACACTTAGAGATTCTACAGATTAAGGACACATTCTTTAATTTAGAAGAACATAAGTTATTTGCAACACATAAGTTATTTCTCCAAAATTATTTCACAAATAATGTTTAAGGAGATAAGTGATTAGAGACGATACTATATCCTTACCGAGTTTCTTGTTTGCATGTTATAAAAGCCTAAAGAGATTAAAAAACTTGGAGATTTTGCATCTCACTTCAAATAAGTTCAGCAACAACATTTTTCCCTTTCTTAATGCTGCTACATCACTCACAACTCTGTTTCTTCGAGGAAACAAGATGGCTGGCCGTTTTCCTGCTAAAGGTGTCGTTTCTTTTTACACTTTGTAACTAGAATGATCTATTTTATTGATGATGTATTTTTGATCAATTCAATCTATCGCTATATTTATAAATTTATGGCATAAAATATAGTTAATATGATTCTTATCTTTGTTGGACTCCATTTCAGAACTCAAAGATTTGACAAACTTGAAACTGTTGGACTTGAGTGGAAACAAATTTAGGGGCCCCATACCAGTACAAGGTAAACTACCCATAAACGTTATTTGATTTGTCTGTACCGAACCATATATCTCATTAGGCTTGTGCTCAAAATATTTTTTCTTTTGTGTGGCTTTGTGACAGACTTGAATTCTCTAAGAATGCTGAAAGCTCTTGATCTACATGGGAACAACTTTTCTGCCTCAATTGATTTGCAAGGTAAGTGTGCAAAATCCTTAACATTTTCGTTAATTCTTGTGAATTCACTTTTAATATGTGAATAAAAGGTTTGTATTTATTAATCGAAGGGATATGCAAATTGAAGAATTTGCAAGAGCTCGATTTCAGTAAAAAATAAACTAGTAGGACATTTTCCTTTATGTTTAACTAGCTTGACTGGACTTCGAGTTCTTGATCTCTCATCAAACCAATTGGTTGGTACCATACCATCTTCCCTTGGTAACCTTAAATCCCTTGCATACTTGTCATTGTTTGATAACAACTTCGAAGGCTTATTCTCACTTGGTTCCCTAACCAACCTCTCAGAGCTTAGGGTATTGAAAGTTAGTTCAAAATCCAACTCATTTCAAGTAGAGTCTCAAAGTTCTTGGAAGCCAAAATTTCACTTGAGTGTTATAGCACTACGATCTTGCAACTTAGAAAATGTTCCTCATTTTCTTCTACACCAGAAGGATTTGCATGATATTGATCTCTCTGAAAATAAAATCTCTGGGAATTTTCCTTCTTGGCTATTGGCAAACAATACAAAACTCGAAATTTTGAGTCTAAGGAATAACTCTTTTACGAGCTTCCAGCTACCGAGATCTGTTCATAACCTGATTTTTCTGGATTTGTCAGTTAATGAATTCAGTCATCTGTTTCCTCAGAAAATTGGATGGATACTTCCTAATTTACGGTATATTAATAAATCGAATAACGGGTTGCATGGAAATCTGCCATCTTCTCTAGGAAACATGAAAAGTAATAATTTTCTGGATAAATCTCACAACAATTTTCATGGGGAGCTACCAAGAAGTATTGTAATGGGTTGTTATTCCATGAGAATCTTGAAGCTTTCGCATAACAAACTAAGTGCAGAGGTTTTATCGAAATCAACAAACTTTACTAATATGTTGGTGTTGACTATGGATAACAATCAGTTTTCAGGAAATATTGGACAAGGTTTGCGGAGCTTGAGCTACTTGTTACTGCTAGACATTTCGAACAACAATCTCACAGGTGTTATTCCAAGTTGGTTTGGCGAACTTCCATACATAGGCGCATTATTGGCTGCAAACAATATGCTAGAAGGTGGAATACCTATTTCATTGTTCAACTTATCCTATCTTCATGTTGGACCT